GAGATGCAGTGATTGTCTTTCCTGCAGATCAACCCACCCAGCACCTCCACCCTGTACAGTCAACTACACTGTGTAACACATTGGTAGGAGGCGCTTTGTCATTTATAGGTTAATTGTGATTAATCACATTGCTATCAAATATTTGACAATAATTTGACAAAATGTTTCTCAGTCAAGTTCATGACTTAACACATGCACATTTTTCATTTCTAGCTGTTTTAACATTTAATTATTTTCTTTCTGCTTCTGGACCTCATCGTCTGGTCTGTCGTGGGGAGGCTGTGTTGTAACGTTAGCTCTGGTCTCTGTATTTGCAGCAACATGTTTTTCTTTGAGGTAAAAACAAAAAAAACTCTGTGGCACAATTGGCACCAAACCACACTCTTAACCAAGCTGCCATGAAGAAGTTATATAAAAAAAAAACCAACAACCCTACCTTGATGGAGTGGCATGCATTAGTGTTTGACAGAACCGAGTTAAATTAGTTAATTTTGTACATGTTTATTATGTCTTTAATTGAAGAAATTAAATGATCATGTTAAAGCCCTATTTAAATGTTTGGCCAGAAGTGTGAAGAATTGCCCGTTGGATAATTATTTCTAATGAGTTTCACTGCGGTGAGTATGGCTGTAATGTAATATATATATAAACTAAGAGTGAACTCAGAACATGCGTCAGTTGTTCAGCTTCTTTTTCCCCGTGAACCCGGAGAGAAAGACTTATAATCCTGCAGCGCGATCAAAGTCGTCAGTGTGTAAGTTCACCGTGGCGTTGGCAGTGATGAAGGGCTTTTGTAAGAACTGTTTATTTCCCAGACACTTAAGCAGGACAGTGTTAATTTCACTCATTTTTCTCTTCCCCGCCGTCTGGCTGATGCTTCTGATTCCAGGGCTGTGCTCCAGTGTTTAGCGGGTCAAGTGAAGCTGCTGCTCAGAGTTAAGTAGGACTGAAGTCGAAGATGGGTTAGCGTTTGTAAACAATGTGTGAAATGGATGGGGTGTTATTTCTGTCTCACTCAAACTGATTGTATTTGTCTTACGGACCAGTTATTGTCCATCCTGACGAGTGGATTTGACGTGGAAGGAGAAAAAAAAAAGAGGTGTTGAGCTGTAATGTCCTGCCGGAGCAGTGTTTTCAGAGCAGACCAGAGGTTGGATAACAGAGGTTGGAGTGTTTTTGACATGGAAACAAATGACCTTCCCTTCTGCTGGGAAGGAATGGCAGATGTTTGGCTGATTTTTGGTGGACGCTGATGGGAGAAAGGGAAGAGAAAGCACAGCTGATTGTTTTTTGTCCCTTCTCTCTCCTGTTACCATATCAAACTAGAGACGGATCACTGCTCTAATGCTCTGACTGGCATGTTTTTCTTCGGGGCTTTTCAGCTTGATGTCAGTGTTTCCAATAATATGAACCCGGGTGGGTGATGGGGAGAGCTGTAACTGAGAATTAGAGCAGCTCCACTGCAAATAAGCACCAGGGCAAATGATTTTGGCTCAGGACGGAGTTATCTGTCACTACTCCCGTGTTGGACCTCACATGAGAATTGAGAATAAATTCGCTGGTAACTCAACAGTTGGCTCTAGAATGCCTATACCACCTGTTGGTGTTATAATTGGTTTCATAATTCAGAACCCGCAGTTTATGGGCGAGTCTCTGGTTTATAAGACCTGTTGACACCAGGTAATGATTCAACAGGCCCACAGGGCTCCGGCCTTCCACTGCCTTTCTTCATCCCTCTCTCCCAACTTCCTGTTCCACTTTGTCTCTCTTCAATGGTCCTGTTGGAACCTCATTCACATTTCTTCTCGTGGCTGGTTCTCCGCCTACTATGAATCTTTGGTGTAGCGTAATAAGAGAAGTTTCCTGCTCTGTACAGTACAGGAGACAGAAAATACAAAAATGGGCCAATTCATACGTACAGTACTGGCTGCAGCAGGGCTCTCGTGAACAGCTTATTTTGGACAAACCCAGAAAGTTTTCTTTTTCTTTTAGATCTATAAAATATATCACTGTTATTTTTAAACTTTAGTTCCTGTGAGGGCCTATACCAACATGATTTTATAATGTTATAGAATTGTAGTTTTTCTTAATATATAGAAAAATATAATGTTACAATTTACTGCAGTGTGAAAAAAGTGGAAAGTCAGTAGTAGATTTAAAATGCTGAAACCATTAAATGACTATGGACTATGTTCATTTTAATTGCTGTAGTATTGCAGTATAGGTTTATTCATCTATTATTAATCACTAATGGCAGAGGCCAAAATGAAAAACTCCACTAATACTACAAATCCTGCCAGTATATAGGGCCTATATACTGGGGGGCCAACTCAATTTTGATATGATCTTGCTGGCCAAATATAATTACACTGCGGGCAAGAATTGGGCCCCAGGCCAGGTGTTCGACACGTAGGGTATTGCATAAGATAAAATCATTTTAAAATGTATGTTGGCAGAAAATATAATTTTGAATTTTAAAATGTATGTTGTTGGCAGAAAATATAATTTTGATTTTTTTCTTCCTTTGTTCTTAATTAAATTTGTCAATACCTGTGTGAGTGGTGCTATTATTATTACATTTAGTGTCAACAATCAACAGTGTTCAAATTAAACTTTTTTTTTTTTTTTTTTTTACAAAGCCAAGGATTTTAAAAGCAGGGAAAAGGCAAAATTCTTTGTTGATCTTGACAATTGGTGCATAACCTTGGCATCTGAGTGTCTTTCCGTCTTGTAGGCTTCCTTTTTTCCCCTGATCACTGTACTGTGGCATGTTTTCCTATAAATAGTATAAGCTCTTTGTAGAATGGCTGTCCAAGTCAAGCCTGTGACCCAAGTGCAGTGGAGGTTGCAGTCATTTCCTTTTGAGGAAACAATTACGAGCCCGGGGTCAGCGTGGAAGATGACCCTTTTCCGAGGTGCCTCAGTCACTCTCTTTTCAATCCTAATTGGATGAAAAGGGACTGAAATGTAGCAGACTTACGTCTCACATTTTAGTCTCTGTTTTATGTGGCGTGTTATATTAATTCATCGCCTACAGAAGATTTTCCCATCTCACTTGCCAGTCACAATGAAACGAGAAACTCAGTCATGTTCCGTGTTAAATTTAGCTCGGCGATGCTTTTTCATCAGTTTTTCGTTATAGTTTTAACATGATGTCATCAAAGCTTTGTATATTTTTATTCACACTATAAATGTCGCCGAAAATAGCTATGCACATACCAGATGAAATGAATCACAGTTGTCTTCCTTTCCACCAGTAAAGATCAACATTCATTTGACTTTATTGGAGTTGAGTCTTCTCAGAGTGGGGCCTAGAACATGAAACAGTCAGAGACTGTCCGACTGGATGGGCTTCTGTGACTCTCTTCATCGTCTTTAAGAGACACATGGTTTTTGCTGTGTGTGTGAACTCACTTTACAACTTTTATATCAAAACTGCGTGAACATGATTTGGAGAAATTTGGAAATTAATTCGGCGACAAAAACAGGAGTGCTCACATGCTGATGTCTCTCGTTATCATCCGGACATTAGCCTCACACACTTGTTTAGATCCAGGTTAGCTAGGAGGCTCAGTGACTGTTCTTGTCGATGTCTGGCAAATATCTTATTGCGATGACGTTTTAATACAACCTGATGACCTGCTGCTCATACTACGATACCTAAGGCTAGGATACAGGTGACATACTTCATTACATATCTAGATTATTTTAGCCAATAGCATCATCTCTTTTTAATCACAATATAACTTGTGAAGAGAATTTGTCTACATATGAATACATTTAGGTTAAATTTATTCACAATTTAATGCACTCATTGTGAAACCTGTGCCTGTTTAGTTGAACACATTGATATACACGCAGGAATTGAGGAAAAAGAAAAAAAAACATTTCAACAACCTTGAACGCAGGAATTGAGGAAAAAGAAAAAAACATTTCAACAGTTTTGATCTCTCTCTTTCTCTGTCTCTCTCCCTCTCTCTCTTCTCTCACCTCTTTATAGTGATCTGCTGTCACCTAGTGGAATAGAATTAAATTGTTCTGCCTCTAATGTGCTGTGGAACAGTGGTTGAACATCAATGTCTGAAGAAACTGTGTTTTATACATAAGAAAAAATACATTAAAAATGTTTTTTTTTTTCTCCCAGAGATAAACATGTGGATAATGAACCAATGAGTGACTCAATTCTGGTTTGATTGACAAAAACCACAGCCTTTACTTCAAACTTCTAGAAATATCTCAGTGAAAGTAAAACATGGTAATGATGGTACTTAGTAGAAACTCACAGAGGTTGTAGTGTTAGATTTGATTTACAGTTTTTGGAAATTTTATGAAAAATAAGAAGTGTTTTCCAGTGACATGGT